CCTGCTTCGATAGTGCCTTTGAGTTTGCTTTATCGGTCGTGTTCTAGGCTTGACTGCAAGATGATGCACAATGATGACAGGATTAAGGTCGGGCATTTCCTTGTAGGTCTAAGCAAATACGTCTTTGTACTCTAGTAGCAGTTGGTAATACTCCTCTATCTCATCTGCACTTAGCAGCGCACTTATGAAGATAGGTTTCAGCTCCTCTTTCATGCCTAAGTTGAGCTCCTTGAGATCATCAACCATGGCTTGCCCCCTCCCCCCCCGTCCTCAAGTTGTGGTGGTGCAGCAGTGATGTCTTCCTTAAGGATTTCATCTTCTTTGCCTTCTTGGATTGTGATGGGGAAGACGTCTTGGACTTCCTCTTCAGTGTCGTCCCTTCGGGCTTGTTGGCGTGAAGGTTGGCCAGTGTGGATGATGGTGCGCCTTTTCACTTTCAATGATCTAATTGTGTCAACCTCTAAGATTGCTTGGAGCTTCATCCTTGAAGGAATAGAGCTTCAAACATCATCTTTTCCTGCCAGATCGTCGAGTTTTTCTTTCATTAGCGTTGTCTCCCTCTTTCTAGAAGGCTTCTTGTTATCTTCAAGTTTTTCCAAAGCTGACCAGCGCGGAGGAGAGCTAGCCGTGTTGCTTTGTTTGTTAGGTTTTGACAACCTTTTGAAAACAGAGCTTTGGGATGTTGGCATGCTAAGTCTCTTGAAAACAGAGGTTTGGTCTTGACCACCAATGCGATCAAGTGTCGAAATTCAGGCCTTGAACGATTCATCTTATCGAAGACTGACATCCGAGGGGCGGACTTAAGTTCTCCTTGATGTTGTTCAATGCTCACGCTGATATGTTAAGTGCTAGCACTTTTCGCTTTGCTTGAAATCTTCATGGGTGCATTCGGTGTGAAGCCAAGTCCAGCTTTGTTGTTGTCAATTTCGTAACCATGCTTCTTCAATTTCTTTTGAGTCTCGGTGAGGTCACGTTCTTTGTCATTGACGGTGTTTGAAACCTTCTTTTCAGGATTCGAAAAAGAAGCGAAGTCGTACCCAGCCTTCGACATGAGTTTGTAGGCGTTTGGATCAAAACCTTCTTTGGTCCTCTTGGTTGGAAGAAAGCTTGGTTCCACCCCTTTTGGCAGAGCTTTTATGAAGCCTTGTGGTAGTCCTACAACCTTAGCGTCGCTAGTTATGTTAGAGGTAAAATTGCATTCATCTTGAGCAACTTTACATCATCCTTGTACCACTATGCATCGGCTTTGCTTACTTCAGTTTCAAACGGGGATTGACCATTCTTTGTTCTCGACATTGGGATGTATCAGAAAACAGGTATGCTTGGTCCATTTGAGGGTGTCCTATTCCTTTTGGTTGTTACAGGTTTAGCAGGCTCATCATCATTTTTACTTGAAGATGTCGTAGCTTCTCCTTCTTGCTTTTTAGGCATGGCTTGCCACTTCTGCTTTTTAGGTGTTGCTTTACCCATGGATTTGATCTCTTCTGGAAGAGCTTCGGGCACCATGTGTTCGCCCATGTAGAACTTGGTGTCTGCGAGGTGTGATTCGACTTCGGTGAATGGCTTGGTATCATCTTGGATCACTTTTACTCCTTCACAGTAGAATTTTAAGCATTGGTGGAGGGTGGATGGCACTACTCCATTCCCGTGGATCCAAGGCCTTCATAGGAGCAAGCTATAGGAGGTTCTTGCATCAATCACGTGGAATATTATGCTTGATTTGAGTTCACCAATGGTCATTTCTACTCGGATCATGCACATCGCCCTTTGTCCTCCTTGGTTAAAACCCTAGATCAGCAGACGGCTTAGGGACAGTTCATCCACCTTGATGCCGATCGTGGTCATTGTTGACTTTGGCATGATGTTTATGGCCGATCCACCATCCACAAGCATGCGGTTGACTTTATGCTCCTTTACATGCCCAGATACAAATAGATGACGGTTGTGAGGCTTGGATACTAACAGCAAGTCTTCATCAGTGAAGTAGATTGCGTCCTGGGCAGCACAACAAGCGGCATACTCATATGGTCGAAGTTTCAAGTCTTCGTCCTTGCTTTCTTGCGCTTTGTGGTCATTGGGTCTTTGCAAGATTGCTGCTAGTGCTCTTTGCATTTTCTTTGGCAATCGTAGCACTTCCTCGATGCTAACGTGTATCGGCCTTCTTTGGGTGTGAGGGCAATTTCTCCCTCAATGGCGATGGCTTTGCCCTTTGAAGGTTCTTCCATTTCTACTTCAACCATGTGACATGCAGCGATAGTGCACTGTTGGAAAAAGTTCTTCGGGAAGTACTCGTGTAAGGAGACAGGAATGCGTGGCTCTTGCTCCATAGGTTCCCCAACATACGTTGGCTTAGTAGCTTTTACGTTTCTTTTGGGCTTCCTACTATTGCAGCGACGGTGCTTCCTCGCTTGTTCCACCTTTGGCCTTGTGGCTTGTGGTTTTGGTTTCCTTGTTTTTTTGTAAGTCACCAATGTCCATCCTTCTTTATCATCGGTATGTGCATCTTGGTCGCTTGCCCCTAGTGATGGTTGTGTCGAAGGTGCTGTGTAGCTTGAGCATTAGTGGGAATGGTCAAATGTCGCTTGGAGAGGTACGGGATTGAATGATCCAAACGTAATTGTAGTAGTATGTGTTGCTGCCGTGTCTTCAAGGTCGAGCTCAATTTGCCCTTGTTGCGCTAGCTTCATGATAAGTTCTTTAAGGATGAAGCACTTGCCAATAGGATGGCTCACGATAAGATGGTATTTGCAGTACCTAGGATTGTTTACTCGATTCATCTCTTCAAGGTGCTTGCATTCCGGTAACTCGATCACCTTCTTTTTCAGCAAATCGTTTAACATTGCATCCATGTCTGAGTCAGGAAAAGGGTACGCCTTCTGCTTCAATTCCCTCAAGGTGCTTCTGTACCTATCTTGGGTGCGAGGAGGCTCACCTCTCTTTATCTCATTTGCTTTGGTTTTGGAAGAGATCTTGATAGGCGCAGAGGAGGTCTTGATGGGCGCAGTGTTGACAGTGAATGCTTCCTTGGGGGGCTTCTTCCCGGTTTTGTCTACATTTGGGGAGAACACCTTATCCTTCTTGAAGTCGGTGATTGGCTCTTTCTTGCCGTGATTGGCAACACTTAGCTCTATGTCGTGGGAACGAGTTGCCAGCTCTTCGAACGTTCTTGGTTTTATGCCTTGAATGATGTAATGTAACCCCAGTGCATGCCTTGAACGCACATCTCAATGTCGGAGGTTTCAGAAAGCCGATCTTTGCAATCCAGACTTAACGAATGCCATCTATTGATGTAGTCGACGACAGGTTCATCCTTCCACTGTTTCGTACTGGTCAGCTCCAACATGCTTACGGTGCGACGCGTACTGTAGAAGCGGTTAAGGAATTCCCTTTCTAGCTAATCCCAACTATTGATAGATTCGGGCTCGAGGTTAGTGTACCAGTCAAATGCATTACCTTTCAGCGAGCGCACAAACTGCTTGACGAGGTAGTCTCTTTCCGTCCCAGCATTGTTGCAGGTTTCAATGAAATGGGCGACATGTTGTTTTGGGTTTCCCTTTCCATCGAACTGCACGAATTTTGGTGGTTGATAACCCTTCGGCATCTTCAAATCGTCTATCTTTTTGGAGTAAGGCTTTGAGTATAGTACGGAGTTATGTGAGCTTCCTTCGTACTACGCTTTGATGGTGCTGGCGACCATCTCCTGCAGTTGCTGGATAAAAATAGATCTCATGAGTGCCGTTGCTTGGTCCGGCTCCGGCTTCACATCGGCTTTCTCCACCGGATGCTCATCTTCTTCCTCAACACCTCCTTTTAGTGGATTACCCTTTAGGTCTGGTTTCTCGTCTTGTTGCAGCTCTAATTGGTTAACGAGTGCAGGGATTTGTGAGTCTTTTTCTGCCAGAGTCCGTGTTAGCCTTACGATCGCTTCATTCATATGAGCCAGCAGCTGCTCATCGGATTGAAGTCACTCCAGTGGTCATGACTTGCATGATTGAGCTGTCACTTAAGTCGGCATCGAAAAACATGGAACCAAAGTACTTCCTTGGGCTTTCCTCCCTTGGCGCCCTTAGCGAGGCCAGGGTGATCACAGGTTCGTGCCTCAGGTGCTCTTGTTCATTCAGCGGAGTTGATGCAGGGGTGGAAAATGATGTAGAAAGAGCTCTTGCCTTGCTTTGAGTTGTGACACCCGAAGTGACACCACCTGCAGTGATAACGCTTTTGTTCCTTGCATTGGTTGCGAGAACAACTTGAGCCTTCTTTGATGCCATTTGTGCTTTTTGCGGATTCAAAGATAGAGATGAGAGGTAGAGAAAATCCCACTGGGTGTGCCAAATTTGTAAACACGAATTTTCCTGAAACGAAAGAGACAAGAACATGTTTACAAAATAATATTTGTATTAATGATTTAGGGGTTACAATCTCTTCTACAAATTTAGCCTCTGATTCGATCTTCGTAATGTGTATATTTGTGGATTGTGCTGTTGATCCAAAGGCCTTTGAGGCTTGATCTTAGGATGAAAAAGTGATGAATGATGAACGCTTTCTTCAATGGGGGCGTCGATGCTTGATTTTGAATTATGGAAGTTCTTCAAGGGTCGTTGGGGATTAATCTTGAAAGAGGAAGTTCTTCAAGGGCCGTTGGGGCTTGATCTTGAATGAAATTTGACGAAGAACGAAGAGAGTTTTCTTGATCCTTCGGGATTTACTTGGGAACTTTGAAGTTTCAAAGCTTCAAGGTTTTGGTGTGAGGTGAATTGGTTATGAATTGGTGTCCCAAAATGAATGCCTTAGCTTCCTATTTATAGAATTCCAAAACTTGATTTTTTATTTATTTAAATAATCAGATGAAATAAATCATTTCTGCCAAGTGTTGACACATGTTATGTTTGATGACTTTTATGATGATTCTCGATTTTTCGTTGAGTCACACGCTATGTGTAAAATTTATGTGACACGTGAACGTTGAAATTTTAATTATTGATCAACATTTATTTCACCGAAATTTCGATGTCTACACACATAATTAATCAATCCCCTTTAATTATGAAAAATTAATTTGTAAAATAAAACCACAATGAGGAGTTGTTCAAAGAATCAAAATAGTTTTCCTTATCCTAGTAAATGCATGGTGAAACCTTTTCTGCATGCACTAAATGACTTCGGATAAAAACAAACAAAAACACCTTCTGGATAACGATAACGGATAACCCTTTGGTTCTTGAAAAACAAGGCAAAAATATGTTACCACCAAAAGTTAAAAGGTAAAACAATGAAACTAATTAGTCCCCAAGCTCCATTGGCGGATCCATTAAGGGGCAAGGGGGGTTAGCTGGCCCCCTGAACTTCGATGAACGTCTATAGATACTTTAGGTGCTGACCTTCCGAATTTTGGTGAATATCCATGGATACCTTGAGTGTTGCCCTTTTGAAGATTATAGTTGGCTTCATAATTGGGTGTTGCCCATGAATGTCCATGAATACCTTGGGTGTTGCCCCTTTCATACATTAACATGTCTGTAGTATGCATTTTCAAATGACTTCAGGCCTACCAAGACTCGATGAAATGACGATATGCATGTTATATCTGGTACCCCTAATATTATTTACTGGATCCGCCACTGGCAAGCTCCCAAGTGAAAATCTGTTCTTTTTTTTTTTTGTCGAAAGAAAATCTGTTCTAATTAATAAATAATTATTTGGTATAAGATATCTTTTTTTTTCCTTTTGTGTAAGAAATCGGTTATGAAATTAAGTAAGAATTAATAAAACATGTCAAAAAGATTTGCAGACTTACCGTTAGAGGAATGCCAAGCACAGCGAACAGAGACAATGCATCGGCCTTGATACCGGCAGGTGGCAGAGGCAGCTCAACTCCGATGTGACCGTGTCGGCTGGCCTCAGCCAATTTAGTGATTAAAACAGTCAAGGCCATGCAGATGGCGAGCAAGAAGTTGACAACAACCCACAATCTCTTGACCCCACCAACCCAACGGCCGAGATGCTCGACCCCGAGAGACATGAACCTTAAAAGGACAGAGTTTAACGAGAGGCCGAGTGAACCGGCCCTCACCCCCAAATCGTACAGTCTCCCTTTACCGAACTGGCCGGAGTACACCTCATTTCCCATCCAGTCAAGGTTGAACAATAAGAACGGGAACAACGCAATCCAGTTCAAACACGTCACCAAAAGCAACACCAGCATTGGCCTTTGCAACTCCTTGAGGCCCCAATCATTTGGCCAAAAAAAGGGCACCTTCGGAGTTGTCGTTGACTCCTCATTCGGCTTGTCTGGAGCAACGTCGGTGGTGGTTTCCCTGACGATGGTGAGGGCCAGTGTACGGTGAGGGTGATGAGGAGGGCTATGGAGAGGAAGAAGCAGCTCTTGAGATTAGTGCAGTAAATGTCGCAGGCTTTGGTCTTGGTGAAGGGGAACATTTTGTGGAGGTTGTTGACAAGAGTATTGAATCCACCACAAATCTCTCCACCACATCTGCTGTCTAAACGTAATCCCACCATTCTCTCTATATTGTTTTATGTAAATAATCAAGAGTTATTAGTTACCTTTTATGTTGGACAAAGTTAACTACATGCTTGTATATATCTTGTATCAATATGATAAACAAAATTAAGGAATTTATTCATAATACAGAACTGCTTCTTTCTGTCACTATCTATTTCTCTATATGGTATCATCTTTTCTCACAAGCTAACGCTTCCCAACGTTCGATCCTCTATACGCCCTCACCACCCCAACCCTCCACTGCCTCCTTTGATTCATCTCCTTCTTCACCCATGGCTGCATATAATGCTTCCCTCCTCACCACATTCAACATCTCCCACACCATCAATACTCCCATGAACCGAAATAATTATCTCAGTTGGCGATCTCAATTTTTCGACATTCTTGAAATTCATGGTCTGGAAGATGTCGTGACCACCAATACCAAACCTCCCAAGAAGCTTGATGATGGATCTCTTAATCCGAATTATTCTGAGGACAAACTTGTCCTCAGTTGGATCAAGTCTACTTGCTCACCCTATATCCGCTATGTACTGCTTCCTTGCGCCTACGCTTTCGATGCTTGGTCTCTTCTGGAAAAGCGTTTGTCTCCTGTCTCCAAGACTTACATCTGCACCCTTCGTGAACAACTCCGCACTCTTAAAAATGATTCAAAGAAGTCCATGTCTGACTATTTGCTACATGCCAAAAGCCTTGCGGATTCACTTACTGCTGCTGGATCCGTTATTTCTGATGAAGAACTCATTGAAAGCTTCTTGGACGGTCTTGGTCCCGAATATAAAGAGTTTACAATAGCTGTTCATCTTCGGTCTTCTCTCTCCTACGATGACTGCTACGACCTACTCCTTCAAGAATAACATCTCATAAAAAAGATGTCCACTCTCTCCTTGTCCAGTAGCGTTGTTTTTGCTGCCTCTCGTCGCCGTACTGGTTCGTCAAATTCTGCCCATAATGGTCACCGATCCTTTTCCTCACCTCACTCTTTTGGACAAGGCAATGGTCGTGGTCGACATTGGCGCTCTTCTAATCAAAACCGTCAAGCCAACTGGAATCCTCCTCGGCCTAACCCCAGTCCATCGCACGACACTCGACCACCTCTTCTTCCAACCCCGTCGCTGCCACCTAAGCCACCCACATTTGAATATGATGGCTACTGTCAACTTTGCGAAGAATATGGTCACAAAGCCCGCCAGTGTCCCACTCAAGGAAACTTTGCCTACTTAGCGACTGCGGACTCTCCCTCGCCAACACCTTGGGTGGTTGATTCCGGCGCCACAAATCACATGACCAATGATCCTTCCGCTCTCAAACAAATCCCAACCATACACAGGTACCGATACTATTGTTGTGGGCAACGGCCATCACTTGCCTATATCTCATATCGGAAAATCCTCCATTTCTAGTTTACATGGACCTATGTTGCTAAAAGATGTGTTATATGTCCTTGCTATTAAGAAGAACTTATTATCCCTTCGTCGTTTTTGTTATGACAATCACTGTTTTTTTGAGATTGATGATCGTTCTTTTCGTGTGAAAGACAAGAAAACGGGCCAACTCCTTCTGATCGGGCATAACTATGGCGAACTTTACTATATTAGAGCTGCTCCTCACGTTACTCCAAAGCTTGTGTTTTATGGCGAACGGACGACTAGCGATGTGTAGCATGCTCGCTTGGGTCACCCATCCACTGCTATATTTCAAGTTTTGGCAAATAAGTACCATATCCCCATTAGTGGTACACTTTCATCTAATAAAAAATGTCATATTTGTCCACTAGGCAAGGCATGTCGCCTTCCGTTTTCTTCTCGGACGTCCACAGCTCCATCTCCTTTAGACGTCTTACATCTTGATGTATGGGGCCCCGCTCCTGTTGTGTCTAATTTTGGCTACAAGTACTATTTATCTATGGTGGATGATTATTCAAGATTTGTGTGGTTGTTCCCTCTTGTTCGTAAGTCCGATGTCATGACTACCTTTGTTACTTTCAAACGCATAATTGAAAATCGTTTGAATCGCACTATTAAAGTATTACAAACGGATGGTGGTGGTGAATTCACTAGCCTTGCATTTCGGCATTTTCTTCGTGATCATGGCATAACACACCAATTCTCTTGCCCACATATGCCACAACAAAACGGTATAGTTGAGCGCAAACATCGCCATGTTACCAAAATGAGACTATGTCTCCTTGCTCAATCTCATCTCCCGCAAACTTTTTGGGTGGAGGCCTTCACAACTGCCGCACCAAACGCGGTACTATTCGTACCTCCTCCCCCTGGAACGGGTTTGTTCCACGTCTGTGGAACACAATGTTTTACCATTTTAAGACAAATATACCCCATGTCTTTTTCAAAAATTACACCTTCGTTCCGTCCCGTCCCGTCTCGTTCCGTCCCGTCTGCGTACCAAACGCACCCTTAAGAGCACACAAGACTTTTGTTGAATATCAGAGTGCGAAATAAATAAAACTACAAAATAATAAAAATATTATTAAACAAACTGAGAATGCCGAAACGGCTATAAAACCCTAAGAGATTACATTGTGACTAACTTGTTCTCGACTGAATAACAAACATGCTATTTATAATAAACTAACCATAATCCTAAAAGGTAAGAAATCAGAACCTTAATGATAACGGGCTAAGCCAAAAAAACCCAATATTCAAATAAACCAAAATACTAATATTTTCCAACAACCTTCACATAGACGGTGTCCTTGGCTGTTAGAGAAAGTTTGAATTTATATCTTTAATTGTACAATTAACAAATGTTAATAAATTAAATGGTTCCACTACTAGACATAATTGGATCCACTCCGGATGTCCGGAGCCTAGGGATCAAATCATTTGAGCCGTTAATTGGTGTGTAAAAGAAATCAAAGCCGTTGATTTTGTATGGTGGGCCAGGAAAATGAATTAATGGGAATCGTTGGATTGAATTTGTGTGGCCCAGATGAATTGATCCCTAGGCTCTAGACACTAAAGTCTGGAGCGGATCCAATTCCCTACTAGACTAATAGTTGCAACATACTTTTTTGTGATAACATTCTCACACATGTTGTGCTTGATACGTGGTAAGGAATCCGGATCCTCGCCGGATGCTCTTTATGAGGATTCCAGGAATCCGTGAATCGTGTTCGTTTAAAATTAAACACAAACAGTACTTGACAAAAACTAACCGCACGATATAAAATGAACGGACACTATTCAAAAATTCTCACAATCCTCATAAAAAAAAATCCGGAGAAGATCCTGTTCGCGTGGTGAGGGACAAGTTGGAGAGAAACATTGGTTTTATAATACCAAATTGTTGGCTCGTCTCTGAAATCTTTACAGGATGAAATTTGCGAGACTTACGTCAACTTCATGATGAGTTTTTATTCTCTTCTTTACTTACATTGAACCAATGGTAATAATTCATTTAGCATACAAAAGTTAGAGTTGTACAGCTTCTGCCTTCCAGATCTTGTATGGTGGGCTTCCTGATCTTGTTGCCAATCTCCACTCACACCTGACACCTAAGACTACAGAGCCAGGTTATATATATATATATTTTTTTTTTTTTGGAAACGAATAAAAATGTTCATTTAACCCAGTTTTTAACATAAGGAAAATGTCAAGCACATAAGACATATATTCAGAAAGTAACGTTTATGCCTACAAAAACCTCAGATATCATTATCTGTAAATTCATCTGGGTGGTATTGCACATCGACAAATCAAAACAGCTCTCCCACTAGTACACGATTCTGACTGCAAGAAAAAATATTCAAAAAGAGCACTCACACTCCAGACTTCCGCAATTCAGCAGCCCCGTGTGCAAAGTGACATCTTTCTCCAAAGGTGCAAGTCCCCTTGGTAAAATTATCACATAGTTTCGTCTTATAGTTACTTCTGGGAGGGGCTGGGGCTCCTCGGCCTCCTCCTCCACCTCCTCCTCCTCCTGGAGCCTTTCCAGGGCCAGAGGTTGAAACAGTCGCAATTAGCTCGCTTACCATGGCACTAGCTTGCTGAATCTGTTCAAAGGTCCCCTCAAGTTCAATGTTCCTGAGATTGGGATTTGACTCATGGTCCCGGATTGAAAGCTTGGCTCCTGTCCGGAGACAAATCTGCTTCGAATGCACACCACCCTTCCCAATTATGGCTCCTGCATGTGAAGCATCCACACTGATTTTTGCTGTAGATGAGGCACCAAAGCTAGATGCAGGGCCTGCCAGGTGTGGCTCCATCCAATTACCCATACGGCCTGGACCAGGTCCCATGGCACGAGGATCATCGTGGGACTGAGCAAGAGGCTTGCCGAGTTCCCACTCACCATGAGCAAAATGACATTTGTCACCAAATTTGCAGCCTTCAGGAGAATTATATTTAGTACATATGCGTGATTTAACTCCAGATGAATTGGATCCATTGGAATGGGATGGTGGGCCAGGAATGTTCCTAGGTGGTGGAGGAGCAGGCGCCAGATTCATCATTTGAGCTACGGCATTGTAACCTCCAGGAACGTAGTGCAGAAAATGGCAACTCTCACCAAAAGGACATCCAGCAGTGCTGCAACCAGAATCATAGAGTTCAATACTCAGATGACCATGAACAATTAGTAACTTTTATCTACAAACACACATGGAAGCTCAGGCTGACAGTGTTCACTCAATTTGAAGCAAAGTAATAAGGTTAAACAGTCTACAGTTCCTCCTAGCATTGTCAAGTACTGACAGAGTATCACTGTACAGGTAAAGATGAATTTCATAAAAAGTTTTAGATGACACAAAATAGTTGACCAGATAAATCACATCCCTCCATTTGCACAAAAATCACAAATCCATAAACCTGATACCAACGACATCGAATTGAGAATACAATTCAATCTAAATTCAAACAAGAAAAATTCAGGAACACACACACGTATATATTTATATATAGATTATAAGATGAATTATAGATCTTAGTACAATAAGATATGGTAAGGCAACTGATCAAGAACCCATTATGTGTGTTACAAAGACTCCTGTAGTCGAAACATTACTGATTTGACATTACTGATTTGCAGGCACCCACAAGCTATTTAGGTGCTCAAATTTTCATATGTTGGCTCATTTTGATTTCAAAATTTGGTTCCTAGATTCTTTGAGTATTATTTAAACGGCTAAGTTTATAAAGCGTTTCAGAATAATTGCAAAGCAATATACAATTTGCAAGAATCGTGTAATTCAAACTCGGAACCTATAACTGAGAAAAAAGACGGTCACTAACAAAAGATCAGAGATTCTGTAAGATTGTAGAGAGCCCCAATCAATCTTCCCTCCATTCCCATTGTATAGGCACAAAGATGAAGACAAAAGAAGGAAAAAGAAAGAAAAGCCTCTCAACTACAAAATAATATTTGGAGCTAATATCAAAATTTTTTTTTTCATTGGACAAGTGCCTCGTATCATTGTGACTGAAGTATGTTATCTATGAGCTAAGTTTTCTATGCGATAAGAAGAACAGACACCTTCATATCTATCCAATGTTGTGATCAAGAGCTTAAACAAAAGGTATGGGAAATTAACTCACAATTTAGCATAAATGGGTTGGTGCAAGTTGTGATATCTGAGTTGAACGGTACAACAGCTTAAAATTTTTACAAAAATCCAGAAAATGTACCATTCAATTATATCTTACCAATGTTTGAGATAAAACGAGAACATTAATTGAGCTACAAGGTACAGTGCAGATAATTTACATGCAATGCTCAATCTCATTATATTTCATTAGGGTGAAATGTGGTCTAGTGAATGATTATCCATGTAGTTCATAAATAAATCAGTTTTCTGTTACACGGAATTTGTCAACTTCATTCAACCAAAGCGAAGTGT